ACGCAGCGCCCACTTGCCCCCCCCTTCCTCCTCGCCTGCCCCGTATACTCGCTTACACCTCCCCCTCCGCTCCGCACTATTCCGCCCCACCTGACCCTCTCCGTGTGTCCTCTCCTCTGCTCCCATCCGCTTGATCTCTCCACGCCTCGCCCCGTCCTGCTCCGCTGCGACCCATCCTCATTCCGCCTCGCGGCTCTCGACGCCATCTTCCCCACGCGCCCCGCCCCGCCCCGCGGCGCTTCGCCCGTCCGGACCCGGGCGCGTTCTCCCGCGGGCGTCTCTGGCGACGCGATCATTAATAAGCGCATTGTTCCGCGCGAAACAAGGGTAGTTTTTGTTGGAGGGCTTTTGTAGCGCGCGGCGGCGCCTCCACTCGCGGGTGATCCCGTGTTAAATCCCTCTTAATTAGGGCGCTCCTCCACTCCAGCGTCACCGCTCCGCCGCCAGCGCCTCCAGTGCCCCCTGCGCCTGTCGGCTGCGCCATACACCATTCACAGAGGCCCAGAAAGGCCCCGGATAAACTCCCGGGACTCAAGCGCGGACTCGACAAAAAAATACGTGCACGGAATATCCCGTCGTTGTTCCTAATTAGACGCAACTGTAACAATCAATTTCCCAGAAGCATTGGACAATGTTGATGTACTGCTCGTCAATGCGCGATGTAAATTCTATTTTGTGAATTATTAGCTTTACTTTTCGGGGCTGATAGACGTACATTTATGAGATATGAATATGATATGAGATATGAGAATGAAATTCGTTTCATTGTTCACATTAGCTGTAGAGGTTAATTTATGCATTGATCAAAGTATTAGCAATGTATTTCGTTGTACATCCGCTACTAGTATTTTTAGAAGAGAAGGCTCTAGGCTCGCGTCATGACAGCAACAGATTTTCATGAGCTGCTAATTAACTGAATCGCAGCATGCATTTCCCTTACCTAATTGGTGTGCGTTGTTACAAAAATGTTATTCAGCAATGGCGTTATAACGTCAACCGTTCCTTTCCTTTGTGCCCGACTAAACGGGATTTGAAGCCCGAGCAACCGCCTCGCAAGGAAGCGCCTTAAGTTTGCTACCCCATCCCCACCCTATCGGCCGCTGCGGTTCGAGCGATCTTAACTCTCTCCGGCGGGCGTCTCGATAACGTCGTTGTGCTTCGCCCGGCGACGCTACGGGTCGTCTCCTCCGCTCCCCGCCCCGCTCACTCCCTTCGCGGGTAATTTGCCGCTCATCTCGGCCCTCGGCGGCGGAAGGGCGGTCGCGCTTAACCTCGTTGTGCCTGCCGGTGGGGCTGCGTCACGCCGGCGGGCAGGGGCGGGCGTGGGCGGAGGCGGAGACGGCCAGACCTGGCGAGCGGTGGACGATCTGTCTCCGACGCAGAGAGTGAGGGGGCGGCGAAGTATGACAAGACGGAGCAGGAGTTGAACATTTTGACAGTTCCACGAAATGGCTGGGCAAGGACAAGCCAAACCGGTCGGGATGAAATGCGCTGAAACGGTGTATCGGGTTCGTTTGGGTCGTGCAGGGTTTGTATCCCTACGTAGTCGACACTACATCGATTCCTTCAGAGCAATGAGGAACCATACCTTTAACTTCAAGAATAAGTTTAGTAATTGTACGTAAATTATATATATTCGATTAATTATATTATGGATATTTTATTGATAAGAGTTAATTGTGATATGCGTAAAGTAAGAATGTGAGGCAGGATTGCAGAAAAGATTTCTAATTGTGACGGGTCAAAATTCGACTTGATGAGATTGGTTGTGCCACTTCAAAATTAAATTGAAGATGGAATCGAAAAAAAATCAAGTTTCGTAAGTGAGTTGACGAGGAATCGTTAATTTAGCCCTTCGATAATGTTCATGTCACAAAACAATACTAAGGGTATCTGTTCGTAAAAGTAAATGGGTGTATTAAACGATACGAAAAAAGGATGTTACAAGACTGCGCAAAACATCTCAGTTTGAGTCATTGGCCAGGAGGATGTGAAAAGTAAAGAGATCAAAGATCGGGAACGAATTCGGTAGACGTCAGCCAGAGGGGCGGTGGTGGTGGTGGTGACAGCGGCAGCGGCAGCGTGGATGGCGACAGCGGTGACTGAGCGGCCCCGAGGGCCAAGTCCGACCGCCACCGCCGCCGCGGCAGCGGCAACTCCGCGGGGAGCCGTCTCGTCACCAGGCCGACAACAGGTTGCTGCGACAGCGTGTCTCCGCACGCCACCGCCCGGGCTACACCAGGAAGCGTCGGAATTGAGGAAGCGCTGTAGATGCAGCGACCGCGTGATGGAGTGGGCTCGGAGGGCGATAAAGGAGAATCCACACCGGTGATCGGAATTCAATATCGCAAGTGTCAGATTTGGAAAAAGGGCAAATCGTGGAAGCCAGCGATTTATAGATCATTTTCTGCCTGTAATATTGCGTATGTTTTAACAATATCAACTATGTATTTTACAACAGAATATTTCTAACAATATCAACTACGTATTTCACCAAGCATTTATTAACCTTAAATTTTAATACAGTAACTGGCATGTATTTAGATAAAATTTGCGGACCACACAAACATTCCGTTACAATTGAAAATATATTTTGGGGAACAAAGTTTGTAATTATATTTTCTCCTTACTTTTTACAAAATAAAGGTTATTTTTGCTGTTTGTATATTTTACTAGAATGAAATTGTTCATAAAGTTTAAGTCGAAAAGATTTATTTTTAGTGTTAAAAGTAATAGTAATCACAAAAATTACAGCGCTCTTTAGTATTATGACCGCAGAATCAAGTAGAGTGCTAAGGAATTATTTATTTTTTGTCATGCTGTACGTCTGTTATATTAATAACAATGCCATAACTAGGCAGTGACATACGTGCAACTTCTAAACACCTTCCATTGCGAAGTTATCTTACCACAATATACGAGCCACGATACCACCGCATTCTCATTAACGCAGCCGCCTCCATAGCCACCTCATCACTCTTCCCAACACCGCCGGCAGACGTTTCAGCCGCCGCCGCCGCCATTCTCATTGCCACGTGCACGTGCTCCACGGCAGCAGCTGTGCGACCCGCACGCGATCAGCTGATCAGCTGTCGCGGGCCGGCGATGACGCGGCAGAGGGGGCCGCTACCCGTGCAGCGGTGGTCGTCGCCCTCTTTGTTGCAGGCGTCTCCCTCAAACACTGCCTTCGCCACATCCCTTGCTGCCTCCCCCGTCGCCGCCTCACCGCCGCCGCCCTCACCACCACCGCCGCTGTTGCCGCATGTCGGGGAGTTCTGTACGTTCCACGCTCCCCCCTAGCCGAACGTGATC